AGAGCAAAGTTGCTAGGAATAAATGCTAAAATCTCATATTTGGGATTAAAAAAATTACTTTTGGGGCATCTGGGTGGCTCAGTTTGTTAAGTGTCTGCCTTTGGCTTGGGTCATGATCCCTGAGTCCCGGGATTGAAGCCCACGTAGGGCTCCTTGCTCCCTACTCCTTGCGGGCAGTCTGCTTCTTCCTCTGCCACTCATCCTGCTCATGCTCTCTCTCTCAAATAAATAAAACTTTTTTTTTTTTTTTTAAGATTTTATCTATTTGTCAGACCGTGAGAGTGCATGAGTCAGAGGTGGAGGGAGAAGCAGGCTTCCTGCTCAAGAGTCCGATGCAGGGGAACTTGATCCTAGGACCCTGGGATCATGACCTGAGTCACCCAGGCATCCCTCAGATAAATAAATAAATATTATTTTAAAAAAATAAAATCTTTTTTAAAAATCACTATTATAGGCCCAAAAGGGGGATAGGGAAATGCTCATTAGTTTGAGGTGGAATTGTAGTTGACAATGAATTCAAACTGAGACCCCTTAGTCTGCAGAAATGTCTGGAGTGTTCTCTCTGGGTCTCCTGTTTCAGGGACATCCTGATAAAGTGAAGTGAATGCAGAGGGGAGAACCTCGGTGGTGAGCAGCCTGGAAGCCACATTTGCACAGTGGAGGCTGAAGAAACTGGGTTTTTAGTCTGAAAGGGGGAAGCCTCCAGGGGGACAGGAAGTTAATCTTTGATGATAAGAAGGGCCATTATGTGGATGCAGAGTTAGCCAACTTCTGTGTGGTTCTAGAGGCGAGGTCTAGGACTACTGGGTAGAAGTGGTGAGGAAAAAGTTTTTGGCTTTGTGGAAGAAAGAGCTGTTGATCTCTTTAAAAATGGGATGAGTTGTCTCATAAATAGAGTACTGAGGTTTTATAGTCCCTGGGAATTTGAAGCAGAAAATACGCTGAATAGTGGCCCAAGTTTTGTGTTCTGTTCTCTGAATATAAAACTAACAGTGCTGGAAGAAAACAAAACAGCCCCAAAACTAACAGTGTTGGGCTGGGCCTTAGAGCTAGGACTAGCCCCCTCGCTCCTCCAGGAGAGCCCATGAGCATTTAGGAGCATCTCCCCGCCCCCCTCCCATTTTTTTAAGATTTTATTTATTTGAGGTGCCTGGGTGGCTCAGTGGGTTAAAGCCTCTGCCTTCGGCTCAGGTCATGATCCCAGGGCCCTGAGATCGAGCCCTACATCAGGCTCTCTGCTCAGCAGTGAGCCTGCTTCCTCCTCTCTCTCTGCCTGCTTCTCTGCCTACTTGTGATCTCTGTCAAATAAATTAAAAAAAAAAAAAATCTAAAAAAAAAATACTTACTTGGAGAGCAAGCAAGAGAGCATGAGCTGGGGGAGGGGCCAAAGGAGAGGAAGAAACAGACTTCCCACTGAGCAGGGAGCTTGGTGCCAGATTCCAGGATCCTGGGATCACGACCTGAGCCTAAGGTGGGTCCAAGTGACTGAGCGACCCAGGGGCCCTGAGCATCTCTCTTTTTTAAAATAAAGATTTATTTATTTAAAAGAGAGAGAGTGTATGCATGAGAGTATGAGAGGGTGGAGGGTCAGAGGGAGAAGCAGATTCTCTGCTCGGTGGGGAACCCAACCCATACTTACTTGAACCTGGGACTCAGTCCTGGGACTCCAGGATCATGACTGAGCCGAAGGCAGTTGCTTAATCGACTTAGCCACCCAGGGGCCCAGAGCATCTCTTTAGAGGACTGTGGGAGTGGCTCCTTCAAAGCGTCTTCCTCCAAAGCAGGTCAAAGCAGGAATGGAACTGCACGGGAGTCAAGGGTCCAAGGTGATTTCAGGCCATCTTCTTGTGGACTTGGCCCAATGTTGGGTGGAGACGGAATTACACCTAGAGGTAGGAGGGTAGGGCATTTCTGTCCTTGAAGCTGACTTGCAGTTGCCTCCGTATTACTCTAACGCTATGGTCACCTCCTTTCCCTGCCTCTGAAACAGGAGGTTGGGCCTCACTGTAGGAACAGTACACTAGGCTGGGCTTTGGGGTCTCCGGTGAGCTGTGTCAGCTGTGGGTGATGCAAAGAGCCCAGTCAGCGGTGCTGCCTGTCATACCCATTCCCTGCCCCCGTAGCCAAGAGGCCCCAGAGGAGGCTGGGTGCTGGAGAAGGTGAGAGCCAGCTGTCTTCAGGCAGTTCCTCTGCTCCTGGTTTCTTTCCAGAGGAAAGGTCTGGCCCGAAGATGGGTCAGTGGCTGAGAAATAAGGCTCAGGTATTGGGGAGGGTGAAAAACCGGCAGGTCAAAGGAGGGGTATGAAATGGATGGATACACAATTTATGTAGAGAAGCGGTAGGGATGAAAATGGCAACAGTCCATTATTTTCATTTCAGAATTTGTTGTAGTAAAGGGTGATGAGTTGTCTGTTTGCTGCCCACAGGCCTTGGCAAAGCTGAGAGCAGCTCCCTGTGGCACATGGCTGTAGACTGAGCCAGAACTCAGCCTGTCCCGGCTTGGTGTTGTGACTGTGGGTCCCTGAGGGCTAACCATCTACCTCAGCGAGGTGATCCCTTCCCTTGTGAATAGTGCAGCATCAGGTGCCACTGGTGTTTTTTTTTTTTTTTTTTTTTTTCTTCAGTAAGCTCTGTACCCAATGGGCCTTGAACTCCGGACCCCGAGATCACGAGTTGCGTGGTCTACTGACTGAGCCAGCCAGGTGTCTCCCCCTTTTTGTCCCTGGTCTGTCTGTCTTTTTAAAAATTTTTAAAAAGATTTTTTATTTATTTCAGAGAGAGAGAGAGAGGGAGAGAGAGAAAGAGTGCAAACGAGCAATCCTGAGCAAGGGGAGAGGGAGAAGCAGGCTCCCTGCTGAGCGAGGAGCCCAAGGCAAGCCCTGATCCAACGTCCCGAGATCATGACCAAGCCAAAGGTTAAGGGATGGCAGATGCTTAACTGACTAAGCCGGGCAGGTGCCCCTGTCCCTGGGGTTTCTAATCAGAAACCTGGGCTGGGGGCCACCTGTACCTGGGTGGCTCCGTTATTAAGCGTCTGCTAAGCGTCTGCCTTCAGCTGGGGTCATGATCCCAGAGTCTTGGAATCGAGCCCCGAATCGGACTCCCTGGTCCCTGTGGGGCCTGCTTCTTCCTCTCCCACTCCCCTTGCTTGTGTTTCCTCTCTCGATTTCTCGGTCAATTAAATAAATAAAATCTTAAAAAAGAACGAAAGGAAGAAAAACCTGGGCCAGGTCCTATTTGTAAGGCAGCAGCAGAGCCCAAGGGTGAGGCGTAGGGGCCACACAGTGGAGAGAAGTTGCAGGAGGGCTGATGGCTGGCTGGAAACAGAAGTCCAGTGGTGATTAAAGGGTGGGTGATTGACTGCGGAGGATTAACAGGTCTGAAAGATTTGTGGAGGGTGAGATACAGGCTCTTCTGTCACTTTGTGGGGTGCTAGTGGAGACTGTGCGCTTGTCTTTAATTATTAACTTAGCATTGAGGAATTATGGGTGTAGTCCTGCCCAGCCCTGTGATAAGGTTTGGTTGTTTATTGTCTTGTTTATTAGGTAGAAAGGCAAGTGTTTGTATATGACTAGGATGCCCTTTCTAGGGAAGAGGAAAAAAGAGCTTGGGCAGCCAGGAGACGAGGAGGGGTGCAAAGGAGGGAGAGGGAAAGACAGAAGATGATCCAGCTGTTCCCTGAGGCTGGTCTTTCCTGCTTCTCAGGATGAAGATGTTTCTGGGCCAGTGTGGGGAGGCCAGGACACAAGAAAACAGGAGGATTAGGGACAGCGAAGGACATGCCTCTGCCAGAACTGAGACAGGGAGGAGGCTTCCTGTGAAGCATGCAAGCCCAGCACCGGACCTCCCTTTCTCTACTGGGAAAGAAGGCAGGCTGATTCTGACCTTGCCCTTGGAGCTCTTGTAAGGACTGGCAAGCCTTCCTCCTCAAGCTCCTGTGGCTGAGCTGGGAAGGCAGGGGCAGTGAGGTGATTGGCTTCCACAGTGGAGGTGGGCTGAAGGGGCCCGCCCACTTCAGATGCTGGTGTAGGATCCAGAACATTCAGTGGGCTCTCGGAGTCCTTTCTTTTCACTTTCTTCCCAGCCACATCCTGGGACTACGGGGCAACCTCACAGCAAATGTGGGCTTCCATTCTTGAATTTCTTCTTAAGTAGTGGATTGAAAATTTTTTGGGGGGAAAACAGATTTCCCCGAGATTCTGACAAAGGCTATGGACCTTTTTCTTAGAAAAAATGCATATTCTTTGGACATGTGTACTTAACTATTTACAAGGAATTTCAGGCCTTGTGGTAGCCCTAGGTTAAGCACCCTGGCTCTAAGGGTGATCCATGAATTTTCCCAGAGCTCGTAGGGGTAAAAGTATTGCCTCTATCCCAGGGTAGGACTTAAGGAATGTTTGTGGCTCACTCTTTTGCATTGTCCGTCAGGAAAAATGCCATTCCCACTCTATAGGAACCTTGGCTCCAAGGATCTTTCCAAGTACGAAAACAAGTGGCTGAGCTGGCAGGCGGCGCAGGAAGTCTGGCCCCCATTCTAATCCTTGGCCACACGTCCTGACCTGCTGGCCCAGCACTGGATAAGTCAAAACAGGAATCGCCAAGGTTAACAATACCACAGATTGCTGAGTCCTGGAGGCTATATCAGGAGGTAAAGGGGTGCAAAGCTGGGAGGACAGTGACTTTTCAAAGCCTATCGATAGCCAGAGAACATCACTAATCCTGTATGGCTGCCAGTCACCTCCCACTGTTGAGTGTAAGCAAATCCAGTTACTTTGTTTCCTCCCGATTAAGTGCTGAGGGTATATGTGGTGCTGCCTACACAGATGCTCAGCGGGGCCTTTGAATGCTAATGCTGAGGACCTGCTGGGCAGAGGTTTTGAATAGCTCAGGTCTTTGGCCAAAGGGTCTGTTTTGATGATTGCTTCTGGAAGTAATGCTTGGGGGTCCAAGGCTCTCTGGGTGGTAGGGTCATTCACTGATCAGAATTCTCATTTTTTCAGGTCTCTTAACCTTCATTAACTGTGCCTATGTCAAGTGGGGAACGCTGGTACAGGATATCTTCACCTACGCTAAAGTGTTGGCACTGATCGCCGTCATTATCGCGGGCATTGTTAGACTTGGCCAGGGTAAGCCGGAATAGCAGTGAACTCTTGTGCATTTTCTTTGCGTCCTACTTCTTTAAAAGCCTTTCGTGCATTCTCATTTGCTGGGTGCCATAATTTACATTTTATAGAGGAGGAGACTGAGGCTGCAGAATTAAGTATCTCGCCCAAGTCCCTAACTCCTGGTACGTCAGTGGGGATTTGTACACAGGCTGACCTCAAACCTGTCTTCTCTGCATGCCCCCAGAGGCTGATCTTGGCAAAAGGGCTGATCGTCATGCCCTGGGAGTTGGCTTTAGCTGACTGTCCAGCCCAGTGCTGTGGCTATGTTTGGTCTACCCTTGGAAGTTCTGCAAGGGCAGAAATGAACTCCTTGTACCCACCCCTCTCCAATTTCCACGTAGGAACACTAGTCTGCCCCGCTAGTCTGTTTCCCTGGGCATAAGAAGCGCTGTCCTTCTTCCATCCCGTACCAGCTGTTTGTAGTGTTAGAAAGTGGGTAAGAATGGGGCAGCTTACAGGGCAGGACAGAACCACATCACTTCTGTTCTATAGGCCTTCTGCTCTGTAGTGGTTTCATACCCTAGCAAGCTGCCCCAGTCTTTCCTGTCAGGATCCCCATGCTGTCTCCCGTTCCGTTTTACCAGTGTCCTTGCTGCGGAAGGGGTTCTAAGCCCCTCACTTGCTGTGAGCTCCATGTTCTTCTCCTTTTCCGGATCACTTTGAAGCTGGGGGTAGGCCACTAATCCTTCTGCCTTTGCATGTTCTCTGGATTCTAGGAGCCTCGACTCACTTTGAGAATTCTTTTGAGGGCTCATCATTTGCAATGGGTGATATTGCCCTGGCACTGTACTCGGCTCTGTTCTCTTACTCGGGCTGGGACACGCTCAACTATGTCACTGAAGAGATCAAGAATCCTGAGAGGTAGGTATCTCCCCTATCAGTTTTCCATAGCAGTAAGGATAGCTATCATTTACTGAGATAGCTCACCATAGCCACCAGGACAGATTTTACCAGCTCCACTTGAATAGATGCCAGGCCTAAAGGCCGGAGAGATAACTTGTCAGGGGTAACCGCAGGCCTTTTTCATCTGTCCCTTCATTCCTCCAGTAAGTACAGCAGGTTGTACCTGTTCATGTGTGCTTTCTCCTGGGTTTTCCTTAATATTCACCTATCCTTATTCCCACATAATTTGAGGTCACAGATGCCCCCAAACTTTCCTGTTTTCCTTTCGAGCCCTTCCTGGTTTCTCAAATTTGTACTGACATAGTGGTATGATGTCCGCATTTAACAGCATTATTTCAGCCTTGTTATTCTAAATTATTCCACAGTTATGCAGAGTGACGAGAGCACTGGACAGGGAGTCAAAGGGTCTGGAGCCTGTCTTCCCACTGATTTGAATCCGCTGCCAAGGCTGCCAGCTTCCTTATCTGTAAATTGAGGGGGTTGAATGATGTGATCTCCAGAGCCCTTCCTGGCTCTCAAATTCAATGATTCTTGGAACTAAGATGTAGAATGGAGTGGAGTTTCTGTAAATTTTTAAGTCAAAACAATAAACTCCTCTTGGTGCACAGCCAGTGTCGCAATCCAGGGAGCAGATGAGAGAAGTAGGACTGAGGCCCTGGCTCAGTGGTGGTGCTTCCACCTACTGGACAGAAGCTAAATGACTTGAGTATGCCCCCTCCCCCGCACTGTGAAGAATGTTTATGAAAGTCATAGCTTTATTGCTTTAGAGGACCTTGTCTTTGTGTCTTTCTCCTAGCCACTGGTTAGGATAGCACCCAAGGTTCTCAGACTGATTAAGGGGATGGAGTGAACCCAGTTCCCAAGGTGCTTATTTAGATACACACATTGTTCTGGTCATTGAGGACCTTACTCTCGATTTCACAATTTGCATTCCTAATTTCCTCTTATATTTCTCAACCTTAAGACATATTTCCCAATGTTGGCAATCTTGTAAAGGGAATTCTGACACCAAGAGGTTTGGGATGTTAAAAAAAAAACAACAACAACAAAAACCCACTAGCCACCTCCCCACCCCCACCGTCTTCTGTGCTATTACACAGTGACATTGTTTTTTACTAATCCTTTTTCTGCTGGTTAGCCTTTTCTCTAAATGTGATATTTCTTTCCCTTGATGCTCTTTAAGCTCTGAGCTCAAGAATGAAGTTACTATTGTACACAGCTTCAAAAGCAAAAGCACTGGGGAAACAAACAGGAGGACCCATCCCTGGATTGGTGTAAGAGTCTGAGGATTAAAGGATGTGACCCTGAGACTAATGTCTGCATTATTCTGTTTGGCTGTAGGAATCTGCCTCTGTCCATTGGCATTTCCATGCCCATTGTCACCATCATCTACATCTTGACAAATGTGGCTTACTACACTGTGCTAGATATGAAGGACATCCTGGCCAGTGATGCCGTTGCTGTGGTAAAGGATTTTCACTAGCAGAAGGCTGAGGGTGTGTTTGTGGGCTTTTTGGAGTATTGTAGGTCCTGAAAGTCCTGGAAAGGGGGTAGTCCTTGAAAGGACTATGCTTAGGGGTACCTAGCTGGCTTAGTTAGTTGAGTGTGCGACTCTTGATCTTGGGGTTGAGTTTGAGCCCCATTTGATGTAGGGAAGCTAGGCTTAAGAGGTTGTCACCCCAGCTGTGGAAGGAGGGTTGGTTAGATTAGGGACCACTGGGGGCATACTTTCATCCTTTTTAGATCCTAATGACCCTTCCATTCCTTTCCTTAGACTTTTGCAGACCAGATTTTTGGAATTTTCAACTGGACAATTCCACTTGCAGTTGCATTGTCCTGCTTTGGTGGCCTCAATGCCTCCATTGTGGCTGCTTCTAGGTAGGAGTGGTGTGTTTTATGGGGGGTGGGTGTTGTGAAGAGCTATGGCAGGGGAGGGTAGGACTTACAGGACCCAGAGTTCAGTCACTATGTTCCCCAAATCGTATTAACCCCTTTGTTCTTGTTTCCATTAGCAGCCTCCAGTTCTCACTCATCTCAAAACTGAACCCCATTCCATATTATTCACACTCTTTTGAAGGAGGGGAGGGCAGCAGGAGTGCTAGGAGGCATGTGAACCAGCCCCACCCAGTGTCCCACAAGTTTCTCAGCCTCTCTTATCTTACCCAAAATAGGCTTTTCTTTGTGGGTTCAAGAGAAGGCCACCTCCCTGACGCCATCTGCATGATTCATGTTGAGCGGTTCACGCCAGTACCTGCATTGCTCTTCAATGTAAGTAACCTCAAGGATGGGGCTGAAAGGCAGACTGGGGGGAAATGCTAACAGAAGAAGTGGGGGCACCTGGTTAAGTGTCTGACGTGATTTCAGCTCAGGTTATGGTTTCACGGTTGTGAGGTCGAGTCCCCACGCTCAGCATGGAATCTGCGTAAGGCTTGCTCTCTCTCCTACCACCATACATAAATCATAAAAACCAACAAAAACCAGCAAAGCAACTGTTCTAGCTTTCCCAAAACCTCTGAAGAATTTAGTAGAAAAACTATCTTCTCGAAAAAGAAAAATGGTAACTCTTCTGGTCTAGGATAAAGCATAAAGTACACTGATTCTAATGAAATGACTGCCATGATCGTAAATGACATAGTGTTTAAGGGAAAAATGATCTTCTGTGGGAGTAGAAGGTAAAGGCGGAAAGACTTCTTAGACAAAGTGCATTTTTTTTTTTTTTTTTTTTTAAAGATTTGAGAGAGAGTGCATGCTGGGGTGAGGGACAGAGAGAGGGTCTTTTAAGCAGACTCCATAGGGAGGGCAGAACCGGACATAGGCTTGAACTCAAGACCCTGAGATCACAACTTGAGCTAAAACTAAGAGTCAGATGCTTAAGTGACTAAGCCACCCAGGTACTTCTTCTAAATTATATATTTATATATATATAATTTTTTTTTTTTTTTTTTTTTTTTTTGGTTAAAGATCTTATTTACTTATTTGACAGAGACACCGTGAGAGGGGGAGCGGGAGAGGGAGAAGCAGGCTTCCTTCCAGGCAGGGGGCCTGACATAGGGCTTGATCCCAGGACACTGGGATCACGACCTGAGCCAAAGGCAGATGCTTAATGACTGAGCCACCCAGGTGGCCCTAGACAAAGTACATTTGAAGTGGATTTTTAAGGTTAGGCTGCAAAAGGTGGAGATGGGCTTTAGGTTAATGAAACAGTATGTGGGGAGGTAGATGGGGCACCTGGCTGGCTCAGTCAGTGGAGCATGCCAACTCTTGGTCTCAGGGTCGTGAGTTGGAGCCCCATGTTGGACATAAAGATTTCTTTAAAAAAAAAGGGCATTAAAGAAACCCAAAGACTATATCAGAGTCCTAGGGCAAAGCAGTATGGAGTTGGGTAGTAGATAAAAGCTGAAAATGTAGGTTGGAGCCATTACAGAGACAGGTTCTTCAGCAAAAGATTTGTGAGGAATTGTACTGATCTGTGCTTTACAGAGGTTAACTTGGCAAAGGTTTGAAGAATGGGCCTGAAAAACCAATTGAGGCCACTGGCTAACTAGAAAAGGAAGGAGATACTGTAACTAGGGTGCTGAAGCTTGTGGGAACAGAAGAGGACAGATGCAGGTGAGCGTGGCTTCAGTGACCAAGGCTGTGAGGAGTTGACCTGGGCTTGTGTCCGCAGGGTGTCATGGCACTGATCTACCTGTGTGTGGAGGACATCTTCCAGCTCATTAACTACTATAGCTTCAGCTACTGGTTCTTTGTGGGGCTCTCCATTGTGGGTCAACTTTACCTGCGTTGGAAGGAGCCCGATCGGCCTCGTCCCCTCAAGGTGATCCACCTCTATCCTATCTTTGCCTGGGACCTGGGGGTGGTTGGGTATGGAGGTGAAGGGGTTGGAAAGGATCAGTGCTCTCATCTTCCCAGAAGAAACTGTTACCATAACTGCCTAACCTCTGTTTCCTGTGCCCTCCAGCTCAGCCTTTTCTTCCCCATTGTCTTCTGCCTATGCACCATCTTCCTGGTGGCCGTGCCACTTTATAGTGATACCATCAACTCCCTTATCGGCATTGGCATTGCCCTCTCGGGCTTGCCATTCTACTTTTTCATCATCAGAGTGCCAGAACACAAACGACCTCACTGCCTCCGAAGGATTGTGGGTAAGCCTTTGGATCTTCAAGATGATTAGCTATTGTCTGGCCTTTTCCACCCCTCCACATCTGGTCCCCCGCCTTCCAAGTCAGCTTTGCCATAGGGCCTTCTGGTTGTTAGGCTTAACTGAATTATCCCTCAGGTCAGCCCCGTTCAATGCCCCTTGAACTGAGTTCAGCTGACCTCTTCTTAGTTCTGACGCACATATCTCTTTGTAGCATCTGCTACATGGTACCTCCAGGTCCTGTGTATGTCAGTTGCTGCAGAGATGGATTTGGAAGATGGAGGAGAGATACCCAAGCAACGAGATCCCAAGTCTGACTAAATACTGTCTAGAATCAATCCTGAGATGTGGAAAGCAGGGGCCTCTCCTCCCTTACTGGCTGGAGCCAAGGAAGGTGAAAAGGAAGGTACACTTGGTTGAAGCTGCTCAGCCCAGGTTTCTGGACAGATGCCTTCAGTTTTCGAACCTGCCTTTTAAGAGATGAAAAGTAATTTATTTGTTTTGCTACACATTGCTTTATTGTCCCTTTAAAAAAATCTGGAACAGACAGTGGTGGGGAGCATGTCAGGTGTGGGCTTGATCCCCTGTGTTAAGACTTTTACTCACCTCTGGGTGTGCCTACCCACTCCTTTTCCTTTAAAAGAGCCAAAAATGCTCCGAAATTCCTGTCTCCTTTAGAGACATGAAACTGTCACAGGTGCTAGATAATAAAAGGGTTATGTTCTAAACTTTGAGTGATTTCATTTGAGAACGGTCCCAGAGACCTAAGAGGAACACTAAAAACAGTCTTGTGCTTGAAAGTATGAGTATTTCTTTCCTCTCAAGTCAGCTGATGCAACCACTCTATACAAGAGAACACACGGAAGCTGCTCTAGCAAAATGAGATTTTTCACTAACAGCCTAATTATATCTAAGAATTCTGAGCACATGTACTTCTTGAATATTTATAGCATCCTGAGATAAATGTGGATGGAAAAACTCACGTATGGGGTGGGAGTGTAAGCTTGTAATGCCAGGTTACAATGCTGAGGCACTTCCTAAGAGCATGGGCAGGAGCAGTCCCCAGTTGATGTAGTCTTCAGTTTTCTGGAGCACACCATCCATTTCCCTGTTTAATAAGTATTCGGAAGCAGCATGTAGTACAGAGGTTTACTGATTCTGGGGCTGGCAAGATCACTTGGCTCTTTAACACTTAGGTTTGAGTCTGTAAAGGAACCCACTTTTAAAAGGAAGAGCTCTATGCCCCAGGGCTTCTAGGTCTGGGGCAAGGACTCCGGGTCCAGTCTGCTCTGACGCCGAGTCTGAGGAGAGCGCTCCCACCAGTCTGAGCAGGAACGGACTTCAGCCCAGTGTGTCACGCCAGGGCTGCTTTGGCTTGGCACTGCTGCTGTTCGGGGTGCTGGGAGGCTGATTCTTCCCATGCTGCAGCAGCGGGTTGTGGGTAAAGGTCTGTCGTAAGGGACCTAGGGCAAGAGAAGACAAACCTTGAGGAACGAAGGAAAGGAAGAAACAAATCAGAGAATCGAGCCTGCAAGGGTTATTTACCCCTGGCGGCTAGCTCCAAGTGATTCTGCATGCGTCGTTCGCGCTCCTGGAGCTGATGCGCCAGTTCAGCATTCTTCCACCCTGTTGTAAAGATGAGGAAGACACTGGGTCCGATGCCCATTTTTAGATGACTTTCCCCCAGTCGTGTTTCACTAAGGACGTGTTTCAATAAGGGCACTTACCGCTTTTGAAGCTTTTTATAAAACCTTCCCGTGGCGGTAATTTGCTAGAGTCATGCACAACACGCTGGGGGATATTAAGTATAGTCCGTACGGCTGGAATCCGGAGGCAAGCCACTTGGACCAGGGAAAACATATTGGAGGAGAGCCAGTACATGAACACCGCCTGGAGGAGAAGAAAGAGACAGTACTCAGGAACTGTCCTCTGCTGTCAGCTTGATGGGAGATGGCTGGGCTAGATGGAAAGGCTTGGAGCCAGTTCCTAAACTATTACCTACCGTGGGGAAATGGATAGTTATGGGCAAGACGGCTAGGGGCATCACTCTGAGCACATTTCTCATCAACTGTAGATCAGAACTTTGCACACCGGTCTCTGCACCTAACTGCCAAAAAAACCAAAAACAAAACAAATGCATGTCATTTCTAGAGAATGTGGCTCAGATTTCAACCCATCAACTCTACTTTCTTCACTCTCCACTTCGCAGGCCTGGCACCTAGCTAACCTGAGCTTACCTCAAGGACACCCCACATTGTAGCAGTGACCACCAGTGGTAATATGTAGGTGGGGTCAGACAGTGTGAGATCCTGGAACCACAGAAGGCCACCTGTCTGCAGGCTGGGCACAGGAAGGTTGGCCATTTCTCTCAAGGCAATGAAGAAGGAGATGAAGATCGGGGCCTATTACACAGGATAAACAGTATCAGTACCCTTTAGCAAAGGAGACATTTTCATTTCTCTATTACTGAAAACCCTATCACCACCACTTGTTTTTTGGGGGTTTAAGGCATGGGAAACAGGAGTTTATCTGACTGGTATAGGATAAAATAAGGAAAATGTTTTTGCTTACCTGAGTCAGAGGTAGAATAAGAGGTCTAAAGAATTTAACATCATGCTTTTTCTGGTAAAATGTCATTTCCGAGGAGGCCTTGTAAACTGTAAAGGAGGGGAAGTTAATGGTTGGGTTAATAATTACACTGATGGGGGTGACCATCCTTACCACCTGGCCCATAAAGTTTCTATCTGACCCTGGCCAATCACTGGAAACATTAGGCCCAAGAAGCAGGTAGATCTTTAGAACTTGCCCACTTCTAGCAACTCCTGATATATGCCATTCCCTTCCCTCAGCAGAGTGCCAGGAGAGTGTAGATGTGGTCCTCTCCTGTGCGCATTCTGCAGTTGACTCACACTCAGCATGGTCTCCAGCCAACTTGGCCTCTCTGATTCGAGTGGAAAACTTTTGGATCTCTGGCATGTGGTTATGGATCTTGGCTGCTTCTCGCTGGCCCTTCACGATGAGAGGAAACACCAGGCAGCGGGCAAGGACGGTACCTGGAAAACACAGACAGGACTGGAATGAAATCCAAGCAGTCCTGCAGTTGGAAGGTTGAAGTTTTTTAGGTCCTCACTAAAAGGGTCTTTTTTATTCTAGTTTTTTTCAATACTGTGACACCTGCTGAAGGAACACGTAACAAAGGGCAGGGATGACTTGGTTCCTGCAAGGCTTAGTCCTCTGCTTTGACCTCACAAAAATCTAGCATTAACTTCTATAAGGAATGGCCAGGGATACTGTTTATTTCCTTGAACAAAAGGAGGTGAGACAAGATACTTTTCTAGATAGTGATGTCTGAAGTTTTCTATTATCAATGGAATCTCCCTACCCCCAACTCTTTAAGTATAACCCCAATATACATAAGGGATAAAATATAAGAGATATATAAGAACTGCTCCGAGAGAGAGAGTAGTCTGGCTACAGAACTATTCAAGCTCTAGCCTTTGCTTTTCTCAGAGGCACCATTATAGATGTCGGGGGCTCCGAGGAATGAAGAGTGAAAGCCGCTATCCTAGAAATCCCTAGGGTAGGAAGTAATCTGGTGGCTTACTGCTTTAGTTCCTCCCTGTTTCTTATACTTCCTATTTCCTGATCATTCAAAAAATATTTAGTTTATCTGTAGACAAGGAAGGTGGTCTGGGCTGAGAAGAGAGGGTGGTGGTGCAGTGGGGAATATGGGATTAGGCTTTATCAACCTTACCATGGTTGATATGGGGTGGGAAGAGAAGGGAAGCTAAGGATGAAACGGAAAATACTAGCCCTGAAGGAGTAGACTGAGAACTGGGCAATGGCAGTGGAAAGATGTGGTTAGAAAGACCAGAAGAAAATCAGGAAAGATGATCACAAAGCCAAGGGAGAGATTTCAAGGTCTAATGTGTCTAATTCAGACCCTAGGCCCAAGGGGATCATAATGGAGGAGGAGGAAAGATCCTAGGCTTACATCCTCTCAAGAATATACCAAAATCTACAATTCCATATAGAATTACCTCTGTATAAAGAACTTTAGCAGAACAGATCTTACACACCTAAGGATATAAAGAAAAAGTCATTTTGAGTTGGGTAGGAGGCACAGACAGGGTCTAGTCAGGACCCACAGTGGCAGGGATTTCACAACCAGAGAGATAGACACTGTGAAACAAGAGGTCCAAGCCCCATATTGGGTTCCCAGCCCTACAACACCTGGCTTTGAAAATCAGCGAGGCAGGGCGCCTGGGTGGCTCAGTGGGTTAAAGCCTCTGCATTCGGCTCAGGTCAGGGTCTCAGGGTCCTGGGATCGAGCCCCGCATCGGGCTCTCTGCTTGGTGGGGAGCCTGCTTCCTCCTCTCTCTGCCTGCCTCTCTACTTGTGATCTCTATCAAATAAATAAATAAAATCTTAAAAAAACAAAAAAACAAAACCAGTGAGGCTTACACCTGGGCCACACGTGAAGGAGATTCACGGACTAATTTTAGGGCATGCTGGCAGGGCAGGGATCTGTTGGAACATAATCTGGGGATGGAAGAGCTGGCAGGCACCATTTCCGACATTCTCCATCTACTGTGCTAGCACCAGCTTGTCCAGCCCAAGTGACCCACAGGCCAAGAGCCCTTAAGTGGCTCCCTGCCCCTGCCACACCCAGATGGCCTGAGCCTGCACCAGAGCCACTCCCCCCAACAAGCAGCCCCTGCCCTGCATATACTAGAGCACCCACAGCAGCTGGACCCCACGGTCAGCCACACAGGAGGCCTGGCCTCCCCATCAGTGGAATACAGCTGTCACAGCTGGGCCTTGTAGCCAGTTGTGCTGAGACCCACCCCCGACACTTGCCCACCCAACAGCAGCCGTGGCTGGACCTCAGACAGGATGGGGGACAGCCCTGCTTACCAGCATACCTGAAGAAGTTGTGGCGGAGCCCTGCAGACAGCTGTCAGGGGACAGCCCTGCAAACCACTGAGTTTGCACCAACAGTGACCCAGCCATAAGAGGAGGGTGCATGCAGCCCACACAAAGAACCCCTAGGGCACCTGGATCAGGTGACTGCGAAGTTTGCACTACTGAACCTCACAGGACGCCTACAAAAAGCTACTCCTTCAAGACCAAGAGACAGAACTGATCTAATTCAAAGAAACAGAGCATGTTATAAATGAAATAAGACAAAACCTCAGAAAAACAACTAAAGAGATGAACAATCTACCAGATAAAAAGGTCAGAGTAATAGCCATAAACATACTCACCGAACTCCAAAGAATGAACAAAATGAGAACTTCAACTGTGAAAAAAAAAAATCAGAGCTGAATACAGTAACTGAAATAAGTCCACTAGAGGGATTCAACAGCAGATTAGGTAATGCAGAAGAACAAATCAGTGATCTGAAAGGTAGTGGAAATCACCCAAAGGAACAGCAAAAAGGAAAATACGACAGTTTAAGGAACCTGTGGGGCAACATCAGGTCTAGCTAACATTGGCATTATAGGGACCCAGAAGGAGAAGAAAGAGAAAGGGACAGAAAACTTGTCAGCTGAGAAATTCCCTAACCTGGCAAAGGAAACAGACATTTAAGTCCAGAAAGCACTGAGAATCCAAAAAAAGATGAGCCTAAAGAGACTCGCACTAAGACTAGTTATCAAAATGCCAACAGTTAAAGAATCTTAAAAACAGCAAGAAAAAAAAACCCAAAACCTAGTTCCATACAAGG